GTGCTTGGTTGTCTGTCTCTAAGTGTAGCCCTGTGATAGACTGGTTACCTGTCCAGGTGAACCTGCCTTCACCCTGAGTCAGCTGGGATAGACTCCGCCCCCCATGACCCTAGTGAGGATTAAGCGGTGTATAGATAATGGATAGATGGATGATATATCTAATAATAAGGACATACTGCATGGTTCCAGGTTCCACAAGGTTCTGGACCGTGGCAGCGGGAACTCGTGCGCCCGTAGCGATGTCCTCTTTGTCCCGCTGGACGGATCCAAACTGTGGAAGAAGAGGAATGAGATGATCGAACGGGCTCGCAGGGAGGTGGAGCAGCGAGCCCGAGACCTGAGAGAGAAAGAGCGGGAACGAGAGAGGGAACGTGAACGTGAGCGTGAGTTGGACCGACACCTGCAGGTAAGGCGCTCAGGTGTGATCAGGTCATGATTAATGGATCTGATGTGATTATTGATTATTGACTTGTCTGATTGTCTCCTCCTCTTCCTCTGCAGCAGCAGAAGGACATAGGCGCTGCTGGCGGCGCTCGCCAGGCCTCCTCGCTCTTCTTCCCCTCATCGTCCTCCATCATCCTTGACCCTTCATCGTCCTCTTCCTCGGCCAACCCCGTCTCCCACCCCCCTCCTCACCCCCAGCACCACCCCTCACACCCCCACGCTCACCTGCCTCCGACACACCACCTCCATCCCTCATTGTCCCACTCCATCCCCCACTCTCTGCTGCTGCCCCCCATGGGCGGAGCTTCAGCCGTGGTTGGCGGCCCTCAGGGGGCCCTGGGGATTGGTTTAGGAGGTCCATATTTGGGCCCTGACACCCCAGCACTGAGGACTCTCAGTGAATACGCCCGCCCCCACGCCATGTCTCCGCTGGGGGCAGCGAGTCGAGCCCAGGCGCACCATCCTCAGGTGCACCACGGACACCCCCACGTCCACCCATCCTTCTTCCTGCCTCAATTCCAGAACCATGCTCTGGGCCACCCCCACCACCTGCCCACTGATGCAGCCACAGCAGCAGCCATCCTGGGCTTCCTGTACGGCGGCAGCCTAGAGGGGGGTCCGGGTATGGGGGGCCACCCCGCTGTGGCCGGGGGCCCAATGCCTGGGGGCCTTGGGGCTGCAGGGTTGGGAGGAGTGGGTTTCCCTCACGCGGTGGCGGCACATCGAGACCGGATAAAGCCGGGCTTTGAGTTTAAGAGCGATGAGCGCGTTTACCCACCCGGGTCAATCCCAGACCCCGCGGCGCTGGCCCTTGCTCACTCGCACTCGCACGCCCACGTCAACACTCACACACATGCTCACTCCCTGCTTCTGGGAGGTGGAGCCGCAGGAGCCAATGAGGTGTCGCTGTACGGCACTCCTCCCCCCCCAGCTCCACCTGCACCCCCCCACCTCCAGAACCCGACCCTGGCCCCAGTGGCCCGTCCACCCAACCCTCCTGCCCCCCAGTCCCTGTCCAATCCACCCCCTTCCTCTCTCCTGNCCCGAACTCCTCAAACCGGGACTTCCCCCCCACCATGGAGCAGACCCCTCCCTCCGGACCGGACCACTTCCACAGAGATTACCCCCCCGCTCCCGCTGGGCCGCCCCCCACCACTGGCACCAACCGGGAGTACCTGAGTTCGCCAGGGGGGGCGCCGACCCTAGGCCGGGAGTATTCTGGGCCAGGGGGGGCACAGCACCCTCACCCGCCTCACCCCCACTACCAGCCCAGAGACAGAGAGCGGGACTCAAACCTGCGGGAGGCACCACTGTACCAGAACCGGGGGGGTCCAAATCAACCTCCTGCTCTGTCCCCCCCCTCCTCCTCCTCCTCGTCCTCTTCCTCCAGCCATCATGGACACAACGCTCCCTACCCGCCCCCTCCACCTCAGTCCTCCCATGCCCAGCCCCCCTCTTCCGGTGTGGCTCCTAGCGTGCGCCCTGCCCACTACCAGTCCTCTGCCCAGACCCCCCCCACCCCACTGTCCCCCCTGCCAAGCCCGTCCACCAATCAGATGGGGGCATTCTCCTCTTTCCCTCCAGGCTCCTCCTCCTCCTCCTCGGCGCCCCCCCTCCCTGCTCCAGGTGTGTCCTCCAGCTGCTCACCTGGGTGTCGGCCATCTTCTTTCCACAGCACATTGAACAGCCACGCCCCTTTCAGTGGGACGTACCACTCTAACGGAGGCGGTGGCGGGAACATGGCTAACAGCAGCAGCAACAGTAGCGCAGCCAATAGCAGCAACTCACAGTCCCTGTCACCTCAGAGCGCCGTGAAAGCCCCGCCACCCCTAAGTAATGCCAACAGCAGCGTCCCAACACCAAGTGCTGGACCTGCCCTCCCCACCGGAGACGGACACTCAGATTCAGGCCCACCCCCCACTCTTGTCATCAAGGAAGAACCAATAGAAGACAGGGAGGAGAATGAGAGCCCGCCGCCAGTGCTGAGAAGCCCCTCCCCTGAGCCAAAACCTGTGGACATTCCTATACACGCCAGCCAATCAGCACGGTAACGTCACTATTACATCACTTCTTCATTAACATCAGACTTTCCCCTACAGGACGTTATGGTGACTTTTACAAGATCAGCTCTCTAATTGGTCCTTTTAGTCTTTCTGTTTTCATTGTAAATGTTAGCAAATATTACATTTAAATAATGTGCACAGAGACGCCTCTCGTCTTCTAGTCTAGAAGAAGGTCCTGCACGTCAGAAAATGCACCATAGACCAGCTGTAGTACCTGGTTGTTCCACCAGGTGGAGCCTCTTACTCTTTAATACTGTAGGGACCAGAGGAGGCGTCACTCAGACTACAGGCAGTTCATGTCGGCGGCAGAGAGCATTGTGGGAGTCTAGCAGCAACGGGACCATGACAGAGAGTCTGAGGAGGTTAATGCATATCGGTCAGCACTCTCATGTTGTTATTGGGGTTAGAGTCGCTAAATCAGTGAGCTATAGACTTCTAGACGACTCCATCATAGCATCCTGTGACATGTGACACCTGGTGCTGGATTGGCCTGTCACATGATTGCTTCATAAGCAGTTACAGCAGGAAATGAAACTGTCATCTGAGATGATTATGTGTTAGTTGACTAGGGGCAGACTATTGGTTAAGACAGTTGATCTAAATTTGCATCTGTACCTGCAACTGATGTTGTGTTTGTTTTTTACAAACTGAGTTTCTCTCCTGCTGACGTTGCTGCACATGTGCAGCCGCATGTTCAGTAATCAGCAATAGTTGCAGTTGTTATGATGGAGATCCTCCTGATGGTTCTA